GGGGGGGGGGGGGGGTTGATAGCTGAGACGCGTTTTAGTGGCCATTGCCGTTGTGGAGAGGTGGCCGCTGTACAGAGGTGACCGTTACTGTACCAACTATACAAAAAGGAAACAGTGTATAGCCTCAAGAAGTGATTTTCGATTTCATTTAGTTGGCATGGATCACTGATTCTTAGGTGTTTTTGTAGTTCAGTACTGCCAGAACGAAAATCATTCAAATATAAATTATAGTTGTTACATATAGAGTTGGCGTTTTGAATTAAACCCGCTTTTCTTGTGTACATCTTCCAAACTCGTTTCTACCAGCACAACTGATAGAGTGGAGCTTTTATTTACTCCTTAACGTGAAATTAAACCTCGTAAAAAATAAATGACGAAGGAAAAATGATCAACGTCACTGTACGTACAAGATATACAACTTCAGTAAACTTGAAAAATGTTGAAAAAGGTGTCACAGCCCCCGAAGAGATTTGAACTCTTGACCCCTGGTTTACGAGACCAGTGCTCTAACCACTGAGCTACGGAGGCCAGTTACATCACTTGCAAAAAAGTTCGGACGATTTTAAGTTCGGACACAAAACGTTTTCGGAAGCAAAACCGTCCGAGACTTTTAAGCGTCCAAAATTTTAAAAGTCCGTAATATTTACACTTCAGCTTAAAACGTTTAAGTAGCTTCAAAACTCTTAGTTTACTTTATGGAGCGAACTCTAGTTGAGACACTGCTTGAGACGATAAGATTTGTGTTATTTTCTCGTCGGTGTGTCTGTAAAACAATGAGGGCGCAGTTAAACTATCATTTTCACAGATGTTGTTTCAGTCTAATTCGTGTTTTGTGGGCGCAAATATTTACCTTTGGTAGTTTGAACAAAGTGTCCGTAATGTGATAAAAGGTCATAAAACGTAAACGTCCGAAATCTTTTGCAAGTCATGGTAATGTATTCAGTGGTTCATCTTGATCAAACTATTTGAACAGAGCCCCCACATTCAATTAAAAAAAAAGACTCGTTAGTTATGTGCTTGTATATGACTAATTTTCCTAGTTTTTCTTTAACTGTAAGACGCAATGTTATTATATTAAAATAAACTCTCGTTCCCCGTTATGGAGCTCTTAATTAAATTCTCTTGTCTACGCTCAAACAATGATCCGAGACATCATAGGATCCGGCAATTTACATTTTGTGGCTTGAATTAAAATAAAAAGGACAATTTTTTTTTTTGCATCACACACTGATATAGCAGTCATGGTGCGTCTTCAATCCGTCAAGCGCCTAAACAGTTTTTGTTTTATTCCCCTACTGTATCTTGCATCTTTAGCATTTCTTCTTTCTGTTTGGTTCATGTTTAAATATAACCAATCGATATCTTTTGAGGAAAAGATGCAAGATTTGGCCGTTTTACCATCGGAAACATCTGGCATCAACACGATTTTATTTACAGCTCAAGATTTGAAAAACGCTCTCGTTAAATCCGATGGTGTTCTTGCTGCAACGAGGAAAAACCGCGGTAAAACCACGGGCTTCGCGGCTTGTGTTGTTGATCCTGGGATTACAGAGTGTGGAAATGCCGGCTTTGCAGCATTTCTTCTTTACACTTTGGATCACATCTTGTTTTGTCGTGCTTTGGGAATTTACCGACCAACTGTGTTCTGGAGGGCTTGCCGCTCAGGTTGTTCGAAAGATCCAAGGGTGAATTCGTGGGACTGGTATTTTGAACCTGTTAATCGTGGTTTAGAGTCGGAAGTCGAAAATGTTTTCTGTCCCTTGACGCTCGACGATTCCCCGACAATAATAGACAACAGTTTTAAGAACCGGTCAGATGTTAAGGGATATGAAGACAGCAAAATTATAACTACACAGGAAAGATTACGAGTTAGTAACCTGATTCATCAGTACGTTAAACCTAACTCTAGAATAAAGGAGAAAGTAGAGATGTTTTATCAGCAATATCTGGCAGGGTTCACTGTTTTAGGAGTTCACGTTCGAGGAACAGATCATTGGATGGAAACAAGCGAGAAAAGGCTGCCATCTTTGATGAGTTGGGTTAAGAAAGCTCAGTCAATTCTGGAGACGTTGTCGCGACCAAGGAAGATTTTCATTGCAAGTGACAACCATGAAGTTATAAAGAAGTTTGTGATTTATTTTGGAAAAGAAACGGTAAGTTTTACTTTCCCCGACAGTGCTCTTCTTTATTATTGTCCCCCGGGGGAATTATACCCTTGACCCCAACCCAGAAAGATTGGGTGGGGGTGTGCGGCCCGCTACCGAAAACCCTTACCTTATTTTCAAAGACCAAAATCTGCAATTTTCAAAAATTTTTCAAAAATTCGATACCCTATTCAAGACCTGTCTTATAATTAGTTTCCGAGCTCAGACCGATGTTTAAGGCATTGTGATGGGCTTTTGTTGATGGTCTTATCGATAATGATGAAAAACTAGCTTCTTCTGAAAAAAGTACCCACTGTTCAAGACCGGAGTGCAAAAACCATGCCCTATTTAAGACCAAAGTGGCCAAAATTGATGCCCTATTTCTAACCAAAACGGCTAAAAGAAATCAATACCCTTTGGGGCCGCACTTGTTGATATCATCCATATAAGAGCGCTCTCCCCCAGATCAGTGCAGCAATGCAGTGGTGTCTACAGCGTTACTGAAACGAGTCGCAGTATTTCATTAGTGTTTCCAAGCAATAAGCCTCCATTATGATTACTGAACAATACATAAGACAAACCAAACAGTAATGAGAGGGTCGAGTAACGTCTCTCACTTTTGACAGCTGCTGCGTGTTGTTTAATTATCGTCATTGTAGTTCTGGATCGGTGAGCGGTAGTTCTTCAATGCTTGCTTACATTTTATTCTTTTAGGTGTCCCCAATTAGTTGAAGGATTCTTTCCTTCCTTGAGTTCGCACAGGAGTCTCAACTAAATACGAACACCAGTCGAAAACTTTTTTGTAAGACTATAATCGAAGCCTTATGTAATATATCAAACACGAAAGACCATGTTTGACTACCTTTCCAAACAACAAGAAGAGAGTTGAAAATACAACGCGCAGGTGGAAATGTGGTCAAACACTTTCTTCTTTGATATATCTTCTCAATCGAAGCTGAAACTAACGAGAAAACGGAGAAATAATTATAAAATCGTAAAAATCTACGCTAATTAAGGTCAGATATCCAGTACTATGATGGCCATGATTTCCCTTGTTCAAACTTGATGAATTGTCAATAGGTTTGTTGAGAAAAAAACGGTTTCTTAAATAACTTTGTGAAAAAATGAATTTTGGTCACGAAATATTAACTATTTTTGTAGCTTTAGTATATCATATATCAGGTCAGAACCGTCAGATAGTTAAGATTTTGATTTTCCCCAAAATATTAAATGAAAATTATTATCAGATACTTAGCTTAAGCTTTTGGATGGCTGTCAGTTCACAGATAATTTGCGTATTTTTATATTTTATTTACTTATTCAATTATGTTTGTTTATATCAAGGTTGTTTTCTCGGACGCTGTTCGGGCCAAAAGATACCACGATCAAATCCCTCCTCATGGGTTTAAATTTGCCACTGACCCATATGAGCAGGAAATTGGTACTCAAGTGTTGATGGATGTTCTGCTGTTAGCCAAGTGTGATCAGTTCTTACACACCGAGTCCAGCGTAGCCTCTCTTGCCAGCTACTTCAACCCACATATGACCAGCTACTTCCTGCAGGACGAAATAACTGACAAGGTTTGTTTGAATCACTATTATAATAACCAACTTATTTTGATTGATATTCATTTTTGTTTCATGCCCAGCCGTATCCTCCTTCCGTTGTCTTACTGGCTTAAAATATTACTTTTCAGGAGCCAGAAAAGTTTCTTGAAAGAAAAAGAAGTCGTAAAGAAACAAGAAAAACGCAACCCACGGAAAGGATTTTGGAAGGTGAAGATTTCATTGAATTGTTGGACTGTTTTCAGAGGAATTCTGCAGGAAGTGTTTGCCCAAATATTGCAAAGGGAATATTCGTTAGTTTTCAAGAGGCGCGTGGTATATTTAGAGCTGTCTGAGACTTGTTTAAAATGTAACTTTAAAATACATTCTATATTTATTCCAAATATTCTTCAAGATACTTTAATAAAAGAGTGTTTCAACCATTGGTGGGATGTCTTTATTTATCTTAGTTTCGCGAAGATAATTGCATTGGTAGTGATCTGAACACATTGAAGTTTCCACACCAAAACGCAAATTAAAGCCGGCGTTTTCAAACCGGTATAACTATCCAGTGATGTTTAATTTTAAGATATGACTCAAATGGAATCTTCCGTAACTCCTCCCCGGTTTGTTTGTGATCTTTACGAGAATTCTCCCAACCCGCGTTACTGGACGTATTAATTCTTTTGTCTTCGATCAAACAAAGATTGCATTAATGAGGTCCGACAATCTACATTTTGTGGCTTAAATTAAAATAAAAAACAGTTGTCATAACATAAAAAAGCAATCATGGGGCGCTTTCGATGGACTAAGGGTCTAAACATTCTATGTTTTGTTTTCCTATGGCTTATGCCATTAGCGTTTCTTCTTTTTGTTCGGCCAGTTATGTTTAACTATCACCAGTCGGTGTCTTCGGAGAAAAAGATTAGGCAAGATCCGGTAATTTCAACATCAGAATCCTCTGACATCAACACGGTGTTATTGACAGCGGAAGATTTGAAAAACGCCCTCGTTAAATCCGACGGTTTTCTTGCAACAACGAGAAAAAACCGAGGTAAAACCACGGGCTCCGCGGCTTGTGTGGTGGATCCTGGGATCACAGAATGCGGAAATGCTGGCTTTGCAGCATTTCTTCTTTACACTTTGGATCACATCTTGTTTTGTCGTGCTTTAGGAATTAACCGACCAACTGTGTTTTGGAGGGCTTGTAATTCAGCTTGTTCGAGGGATCCAAGAGTGAATTCGTGGGACTGGTACTTTGAACCTGTTAATCACGGCGCAGAGCGGGAAGTCGAAAATGTTTTCTGTATTTTGAGGCCAGACGGTGCTCCTGTGGATGTAAGGACAACAATAGACAACAGTTTTAAAAATCGAACCGGTATTGAGGGATTCGAGCTTGGCGGAATAATAACTACACAGGAAAGATTGAGAGTTAACAAACTAATTCATCAGTACGTTGAGCCTAATTCGAGAATAAAGGAGAAAGTAGAGATGTTTTACCAGCAATATCTGGCAGGGTTCACGGTTTTAGGAGTTCACGTTAGAGGAACAGATCACTGGATGGAAACAAGTGAGAAAAGGCTGCCATCTTTGATGAATTGGGTTAAGAAAGCTCAGTCAATTCTGGAGACGTTGTCGCGACCAAGGAAGATTTTCATTGCAAGTGACAACCATGAAGTTATAAAGGAATTTGTTAGCTATTTTGGAGAAGAATTGGTGAGTGTCACTTTCAATTGTCTTGGTTGTGATGGTTTGAGCAGTCTTGACACCTGCTCTATGTAGCATAGTGTGTTTGGACTAAGTTTAATTTAGCAGTGTCAGCAGTGTCCCACTAAAATTTCTATAAGCACGAAGTGCGGTGCATAAGCAAAGAGGTAAACTTAAAAAGAATCTTGGAGTAACGTTTTTTCACTTTTGATGGCTATCTCCTTTTGTTTAATTAGCATTTGTTGTTGCGGCTCAATTCTGAGGTAGTTCAACTTCCACGTTGCTTTTTAAGTTACAATAAGTAAGCACTTTCTTGTTGCCCCGCACAACACAAGGAGAAACCATCAAACGCGTCCGCAATGATACGACTTTGACTGATTCATAGTTTAATGTATAAAAGACAGGCGTACTCCACAAACATTTTAATTACAATTCAGTTCCATAGCTTAGCTGGTTTATATTTTCCAGCTTAATTAGCCATTTGCCTCAGGCTGTGTCAGGTGGTTGGGCCTTAATAGCCAGTTTGACATGTAAATGAGACAAAGTGGAGAAATTAACAGCTTTGTTGTTAGCGCAATTACAGTAGCCAGTCGTTGTTCTTTCCTTTTTCAATAACTGAGTTACACCCGGGTAGAGGCCAGACGAAGAACAGCCCCTGGTCCTCCAGGTTGGGGATTGGGCGGCGGGCTGATAACCCGCTCCCAGAAAATGCTATTTATTATAGAAACCGAAGCTAGAACTACCA